GCCATGCCTCCAGCTGCCGAGGTTGCCGCACAGCTGGAGCCACGTCGGTCACCTGTGCGGCGCCGTTGCCCTTGTGCTCCCACTGCCCGGCCCGCGGCCAGCGGACTTTGCGGAGGGCGCCCGGCGTAGGCAGCGGCGGGTGTGGGCCGTGCGGGTATTTATAGCTCGGTGACAGCAGCGGCGACAGAGAATCGCCGGCCTGTCTCGCCGCTCTGCCCAGTGAGGCCGCCGGCGCGGCGGACAGCTGTGCAACGCCGTGTCCCCAGTGTGCAGACGCCCCGAGCCCGCGCTGCCCCATCGGGTGAGTACGCGGCCCCGCGCTGGGCGCGCCTCCCGCCGCGCGGTCCAGCCGCAGCGGAGCCCTCCCGCCTGCTGCCCGCAGCCCGGCGGCTTCCTCATCCCTGCCCGCGAATGAGGAAGCGGCCAGGCGTCCCGACCCCGAATCCCCCGGCTCCTCTCCTTCTCCCTTCCCGAGGATGGCAGGCAAAGAGGCAGGGTAAAGTGTCTAGGAGGGGGCAGACGCACCAGCCCTTCAGGAAGAGGGCAGAGGAGACTCCTAGAGGGAAGGCTCTTGGCGGGGAACCCTCAAACTCCTGGGCAACAAGGGGGTAAGGGATGTCACCAGAGCAGACCTTGAACTTTCCTCGCTTCACTGATTCCTGGGGTAGGAATTGAATAGAAGCCCTATCTATCGTCTGTTAATTAAATTAACAGGTTGCAGTTCACGGGTGTTCTCTTTAAAAGCAAAACAATATTTGAGTGTTTGGGTGTTTACTAACTTCATCATAACTAAATAAGGCTATTGTTGATACCTGTTTTCGAAAATACCACAGGCCCACAAGTGTGTTTGACCCATGTGATAACACTTTGGCTGCCATTGTTCATTCTACCAGCTGTGGAACAATAAACAGTGTGTGTGTGTGTGTGTGTGTGTGTGTGTGTGTGTGTGTGTGAGAGAGAGAGAGAGAGAGAGAAGAGAAGAGAAGAGAATGGTAGTAAACATGGCATGTTTATTTTAGTACTTATGTGTAGATACAAATCTCGCGAACAAAAATATATATATATATATTTTTTAGTGGAAGTGTGTTGAATAAAGATATTCCCCCTAATTTCTAAATGAATATATTGTTTGAAATATATAAAGGACTTTTAGGAAGATTTCAAGGTTTTGTTTTGTCTTTAGAAAAAATTTCCAATTCATTGAATATAAAGAGTAGTAGAATCCCTGTAAAAGGTATTTTTTTTATTGTAACATTAAATTTTTGCCATGCACTTCCTAATCCATATAGGTAATTATGGATTTTGACTCAGATATTTACTCCCTATCCCCATCCCACCTCCATCTGACCCTTGTGATCAGAAACCAGTTCTTGTCTGTTTTTGTAATTTGTTTCTTTAAACTGTCGATATTTAAAAAATAATTTTAGATATGAATGAACTTTATTTTTATTAACTGTTACTTTCTTTGGTGTTTAGATTATCATAAACATATGTCACTGAAAAGGAGGTCTTGAATTCAAAACTGGTGATTATTTTTCAACTTTATAACATGAAAAGTCTCAAAAATATTTTGCCATTTTAATGAAGAGTTGGCAATGTCTTGGTTAGAAGAGAACCCAGGTCTACTTTGCTTTCAGATTCTCAGCTTCAGAAACTTGCATTGGTTTAGTGCTTTGTTATCCCAAGAACTGCTGGATAAGAACAAGGGAAGAAAATCACTTAAAGGTTGAAGCAATGCGAAGAAAAAGTCTAGGAAGTGATTTATGGATGTGATCTTCCAAATTAGCTAAGCTGCCACCCACCAATACCCTCCTCTTACCTACTTGAAGCCACTTATGGTTTCATTGATTGACTTAAAAGGTTGCTTTTTTATTTAAAATGTTGTGAGGTCTCTTGTATTGGACTGAAAGTAAGAAGTTTCGACTTCTGTTATAATTGAAATTTGTATTTTTAAAACCTGTATTAAGCACTTGTATTATGTAAAATGCTCTGTGTCATCTCATCATGCTTGCCTTTTCATCTAACAATTCAAGATAATGCAGTAAGAAGAAGTCTTATGTATATATGGCAAATGTATATATGGTTTCCCCCTTTCTGCCATTTCTCCTTTTAAAAATGTGAATATCCCATTATCTAGAGTCTGCTCTCTCTGGAATGGGATCTTCAGTGTTTTTTTTTTCTCACTCAAAGCTCATCTGTTATTCAACCATCACCCATACATTTAGTTTTTCATTTATTCATCCATCAGCAAATATTTATTGAGTGCCTATTAGGTGCAAGTCATTACCTAGCACTTACTATTTCCTAGTACTCCTACTTTTTTCCTGATGGAACTATACTTCTCAGTGTTGGGAGCACAATAGTACTTAAGAGTATTGACTTTGGGTTCATGAAGAGATATTTCTGCCTGTTTATGCGATTTGGTAGCTGTATGACCTTGGGCAGATTATAATCTTTCTCAATCTCTCTTTCTTCACTGGTAAATTCAAAGAGTTGGTATAAGATCTAATTGAGATAATGCATGAATAGTGCTTACCAGAAGCCCAAAACATAAAAAGCACTCACAAATGTTAATTATTTTTATATTATCTATATCTTCTGACATGTAAATCAGATTGTGTCACTCTCCTGCTTCCCATATCACACAGAAGGAGGGCCCACCTGCATAATGTGGCCTCCAGTCCTGATCACGATCATATGCTACTTCCCAGGCCTCATCTCCTTTCATACTCCCCTGCATTCACACCCATCCAGTCACATTGTCCCTTGTTGTTCCTTAAATGCACTAATCATGCACTCA